AAGGTCAGGCTGGACGGGGCTCTGAGCACCTGATGGAGCTGTAGCTGTTGGACTGGGTCACTGATCCCAGGTCACTGCAGAGGAGTTGGACTTGGTGACCTTTAAGGGTCCCTCTCAACTCTATGAACCTGTGCATCCCTCTGGGAGGTCTCCATTGAAACTTCAATAAAAAGGAAGAAACGCAGAGCAAGTTGGGCACAGGTGTACATTCTGCCTGGCACTTTCATAGAGAGGGTGCATGTGAAGGCTTCCTTCAAGCCAAGGGGTCTTATTTGTACCATTTATCAAAAGCACAAAATCTGACTATGGAAAAGAGGAGCAACAGCAGTGCTCACACAACACAAAAGCAACGTCCACAGTCTGTCATAGGAGATAATGCAGAGTGTGCCACACAGTAATCCTCCAGCTTCTGACAGAAATATCGTCAGGCAAACAGCGGGAAGGAAAATGTACAAGAACACACACAGGCAGATACGTTCCTTTACAAGGAATCTGAGAAGGGAAATAAAAGAAGTGATTTAGAAGTAAGTAAGTAGCTGACAGTGAGAGCAGAGTGATTTCTAGCAGCAGCGCAGCAGGCGACGAACCTTAAGAAGGCAAAGATGGGGGCGAGGGTGAAGAGGTTAAGCAGCAGAGAATGAAGACATGAGAGAAACGCGAGAGCAATGCGCTGCGATTACACAAAGCCTGTTATGTCAGCTGAGGTTCTTCGGGGAACTAAATGTTAACAGCAGGACCAATGCGAGCACATCCAGCAGCAGCACACAGCAACTTCTCCCCTCTTGTTATGCAGAAACCCCCTTGTTATGCAGAAACCCACATCCCCCTGATTTGCTTACTTACAGTTGGTTGTGTCACTGGGAGAAGAAAAAAATCGGGCACTGCCAGCTGTCTGTAGGGAGCCTCACTTCACCTGGAGCCAAGACATTCTCTCACAGGCACAAAACAGCCCCTTTTCCTCCAGCAGCCTTCTTGGCAGTCCCCATACCCAAAGACTTACACTTAACACCAAAACCCTGTTCTTGCTTGGAGCACTGGTGAAACAACCACCAAGAGCAGCCAGGTTCCCATCAGCAGCTGATTAGGCAGCAATAGCCCACAGCCGTAGCCAGGGCAGAAAAGGGCCGGTCCTCCCCTCCATACACACCAGAGCACACCTGTAGGTCATCTCATGGATCAGTGCCAAAGAGAGACCATGGCCCTGAGCTGGTGGGTATCCAGCCCACTTTTACTTTTCCAGATGTCACTGCAGCTCACGTTAGTGCTTTTTTAGAAAAGAGAGCTCAAGGTGGGGATGGGGAAGTGCCCAAGAGAACAAGCTAGACTCAAGTCTGCTTGGGCAGCACAGACCTACCACTACAACCCCTTATGATCTATAGCTTGGCCAGTAGATCTGGATTTGGTACCTGGACATCTAGTATTGCTATGAAACTAGAAAGGAAGAATGAGTTCTCCTTTCCAAAAGTTTATCATAAGCTCAGCTGAGGACAGGGACTTCTCACTACTGGATATTGAAAGTTGCTATTTTCCCCTCACTTCGATTTCATAGCACATGACTTTTTTCCAAAACTGTGAGCAGAAACCACAGTAATGTTAAAAAAATGTGGAACAGCTTTTCATGCTTTTTTTTTCCCCCCCTAAATAGTCTAGAGCCCAAGTGTCCAACCTTTTAGCTTGCCTGGGCCACACTGTGTGAAGAGAAATTGTTTTAAGCCACGTATCAAATAGATGTTTTTAACGTACGTAATTTATGTACCTATTTTTAAATATACTTTTTAATAAAGCATAAAAAAGAGGGCAACAAAAAACTAATGGGTTGGACATGTATGATCTAGAGAGATTTTTTTCAGTTCACAGAGGAGGAATTTGGCCCAATTTCCTTGCAAATAAAATGCTGGATTGAAAGCATGTTTATATCCCCACTCACAAGTAGCACACAAGCAGCAGGATCACAGGGTTGATGCAGTATGGAATCCCTTTTCTAAACAGAAAAGAAGCATCCAGCAGAGTTGTTGAAGACTAGATAAAACAAACAAATCATTAAGGTAGAATCAAGTTAACACAGAGCAAGAATAGAAGAGCAATAATAAAAAAAGTGAATTGCTTTATAAATGTCAAAACTTGGGAAACTAACTGTTTAAACAACATTATTTCTTTTTAGTCACTTGTTCATGGAAAGTGTTAACAAACTGAAGCTCTTCTTTTTTGACGCCCATATGAACTAGATCACATCTTAGATGGCAGCTGTGCTAATTCATCCATGCCAGGAGCCTGTCTGCTGAGATGATAGCAAGCGGCTTTCAAAATTCCTACAGCTGTGCTGGTTTTGCACAGGAACCTCGGCACAAGTCTCTCCAAAGGGAGAAGAATTACCAGGGTTTTGTGGTCCTAAAAACAAGCCAACAGAAATCTCTATCAAGTAATTTCCAACACCTAATAATTCATGGGGATATTTTCCATTGTGCGTTTATACAGTACTTGGTCATTATGCTGACATGGCAGCACCTTTCCAGCACACCAGGAAACTTTCTAATAGCTTAACAATCACAGACACACAGAATGGTTGGGTTGAAAACAACCCTAAAGCCCTCTCAGCCCCAGCCTCCTGCTGTGGGCTGGCTGCCCTCACCAGCTCAGGCTGCCCAGGGCCCCATCCAACCTGGCCTTGAGCACCTCCAGGGATGGGGCATCCACCACATCTCTGGGCACCCCCTTATCATTTTAATTGCTCTGTCTCAGAGATGTTTTATCCACTTTGTTTTGGTTTTACCTATTTTTTTCACCACAGCATGTTTATTTACCAAAGGGCCACATGTAAGACATTCCATATGGCTTAGCTTCCTTTTCACAAACACGCAGAAGCACTAAATATTCAGGTTATCTGAAATCACCCTTACAGAAAGTTACCTGAAAACCACTGAGCTTTTAAAGCTGACATGGTGTAAGTGAATACAGCACTATGTGGCTGTTAATGAGACTGCACGCGATGCTGCCTGTGCAAATGAGACGCCTATCATCACCAGAGAGGCATTCCACACATTCTATCATAAATAATTAAGATGAACCTGCTTTCCTTGGCCCACTGAAGGAAGGTAATGCCATTTGGCCCGGGTCTGTGGAGTTTTCATTTCCCTTCAGTGCAGCTTTTTGGAGCTGATAAATACATCTCACCGAAACAATCACCTGAGGATCACTCCGGCAAACAAACCGTCTCTTACACCCAAATCTCCCAGGCAAGGACTGTAATTACTATCACAGCCTGTCTGACACAAAATTATGTAGTAACGAATGGCAACTGCTCACTGGGACGGATGTGGATCAGTAGACAAAAGGAGAGGATGAACGAATTGAAACCTGTAGCTGTTCAGAGAGGCAGCGGGAGGATAAGCACAGAAACACATTTAGGATTCAGTTCTCCAGGGAGGGTTTGTTAGCAGAGACACGCTCCCACTCAGCACACAAAACCAGGTGCCACAGTGCATTTCAGTGCACAGTTGTCTTGTGCAATCACAGCCTCCTGCAACGCTGTTCCCAATTCCAGCACATCGGGGCAACATTTCTGCACACACGTTAGCATTGCTGAGCAGGCATCTGTTGTGCGCTCCCAAAACGTTTGTATTCCTCTAACGTGGGCATTTCTGAATATTTTGCCACAGCATGAATGGGAAATGTGACCTTTTCAGATATAGACACTCCACCGTGATGCACCGTGGTGAGAAATTCCAGCTATCACAAGATAGTACCGTAACAATGTGACATGGGTAGGTAACTATTTCCATTGCCTTCTTCTTAGTGCCAATCAACTTATGCTCCACTTTCAACAAATTCTTCTTTTTGCTTTTTCTACCCGTCTGCTCCCAGACTTTTTTAGCCCATGGTTTGTATAGTTTTCCATGCATCCAAGGCAATAAAACATTTGCCATACCTTCAGGTGCCAGTTAACCTTACTGAATGTCCACTGGTAGAACTCAGAAGAGCAGAGTGGACCAAATGAAATGGCTGATATGCAATGGCTAATATTCACCCAGATTCTGAAGACAAGAAACCTCATTTGGCTACAAAGCTGCAGTTCACACGATTATTTCTGCTGATTTCCTCCTACTTCCGCTTTTAATTTCCCTTTCCTACTTTTGTTTTCTACTTCTCTCTACTTCATGTTTCAGGTCTTGTTTCAGATGGGTGCCATTTGTGATGTAAAGTCAGCCCAGTAACGGGACTGCATATGTGTCACGCACACGCTCCTTCACTGAACAAAACTGAAATATTAGAAGCAAATTAATGATAACATTCAACATTAGATCTCAAAGCTGAGGCAGTAATTACTGTTTTGTTGACTAGAAACCTAAAAAGTAGTAAAGGACAGAGTGATTTGACCTACACTTAATGCAGAAACTGGAGTGTGATGCTCAGTGAATTGGTAATTGTAGTTACACAGCAGCTGCCATCTGACCCAAGGCTCCTATTTAAAATTTAAATACTGTTTAACATATATCCCAGAGATGTCAGTTTTGATGTAGTGGATTCCTTCCAGGTGTTAAGAATGAACTCCTACTATGGGAACTTTTCCTTGCTGTCGTAGTGGGTGAAATGCAGCCTTGAGCTGCACCAGTCAGATGCACTCTCTCTTAATCACCCTGCTTCTTCCTGCTTACAGCACACATCACTTCACAGGTGCTCTTTCCAGAGTTCACCCCAAAACTTCCATCTCTACATTTCCTGGATCCATACTACACATAACCCTTGCTTATCCAAATGTTTCCATGCCTCCTTCTCTTGGTACATTTGGTCTCTGCTACACAACCCCCTCCCTAGGGCTGATTTTGTCACAGTCAAGAACCATGCTGTACAAACTGCAATTACTTAAAGGATGAAAAACACTTTTGTGAGTGTTTTGAGACCAAATTGCTGTAAAGTCCTCCAATATCACTGCATCATCTGAGAACCCCCAAAGAGAGGATACAGCTTAAAACCACGTAGGGGATGATTCCACCCTCTGAACGGTTTACCTTTCTCTCTTTCTGGTTTTCTTTCTTCTGACCTTTAGGATTGTCTAACACCGGAATGCAGTTTCTTCACAAATGCTGCAGAGCTGGGAAAATAAAATAAAAAAAATAACCAAACAGGTGAATGTAAGCTGAATTTTCAGGCTTCGTCACCTCCCTGCCTATATGCACAGCTAGTCCTGGCCCAAGACGAGCAGCCTTCCAGAGCACCTGCTTGTTCCCACTTACCAGCCATTTCAGATGGGATGTGCCATGAGCACCCTGCTTCACCACATCTTACTAAAGCAGGTGAAATTTTAGCAAAGAGCCCAGACTCCTCCTGCAGCTTATGTCACAGGAGGACAGTAATTAGCAGCATTCAAATCAAGCAAAACCTACTGTAATACTTACAAGGTGTTACCTTTAAACAGACACTTCACTAGCAATATGGGAAATCCTTCTGCTCCCAAAATCAACATGCACCTCTGCTTCCGCTGCTTAGCATAATCTGAAGGCAGCTCGTTCATTCCTTTTGTCCTCACAGCCATAAGTCTAGATAGGAAAAAAAAATGTTCTATAGCCTGATGGAGGAAATCGAGAATCAAGCTAGTGTGCTTCGTTCTGAAATAAAAAACGAGAAGTTTTCTGAGCACACACCTATGAGATCCTTATGCAGCCGAAGAGTGAGGGAGGAATAGTTTAATGGGTCTAGTCCACAGCCTAGAAACAATTTGCTATGAGATTATTTTAAGTTTCCTAAGTCTATCAAACTGGCAAATTTACCCACATGTTGTACACAGAAATGAGCCTGATGTAGTTGTGGAGCTGCTCCAACACAACCAACCAGAAACTCCCCACACCAAGCACTTTCTGTCCTTGCTCAGCCAAACACAGCTTATTTCTGTGATTCTAAAATCTCTCTCTTTTTTTTTTTTTCTTTTTTTTTTTAATACCTAGACTTCAGTGAAGATCACAGGCTTGAGTTTCAAATCTTGGAAGCATCTAGAGAAGGGAAGAGAAAAAATAAAAAAGGCCAACACAGTTGGCAGTTTGGGTGGTATTAAAAAAAAAACCACAGAGTATTCAGGCAGAGCGTAGTGAGAATAGTGGTTTGGAAATACAACCCTAAAGGAAGAGTCTCCAGAGAAACAATGGGAAAGGAATAAATAAAAAGAAAGTTATAAATTCATCTATTTGCTCTTCCCTGACCCTTGCTTTTACTCCTCTTCACAGCAACTACCCTGGGAAAGGCACAATGCCTTCCCCTGTCACAATATTGAGAAAAATTGAAATGGGGAAGAAAGACCACCAGATGCTTTATTGTCTTAGGCGTTTCCACATAATTAGCCGGGAATAAAGGTCCTCTGCATGGTTTCATTGCGCTGAATGAACTTGGATATTGCTACACAGTAGTGTGTTTTATGATTCATGCTCTGTTATCCAGTGGCTTTTTGAAAACTGCCAGCTACTTTATCACTGACGGCCAAGCCTGGGCCTGGAACTTAAAATGCAGCAATGCAAAGTTAACTGTGCATGACAGATGTCCATGAAATTGTTTAACACACGCACGCATGCACACCCCACACACACAGCTCTGTCTCCAGCCCCTCTCTCTCTCACTGCGAGGTCAATGTCGTGACAAAATAGAAATAATAGAAATAAAACCCAGTTACCGCAAAAGAAATCCCTGTGTGCTCCCAAAGTGGCCATGAGCAGCAGCCCCCCGAGCTCTCCCTCCGGTCAGGAAACTCAGGGCTGAGGGCTCAGGGTTGTAAATTTCCTCCGGGCTTCTCAGAACCTGCAAAGTTGTACTGTGGGAGCACTACCTCCAGGAAAGAGATCCACGGGGCCTAACTGCCTCCCTTAACACCTCATTCTACATTGATCTCTGTGGCAGAGGGTCTCACAAGTTCCACGAGTGCTCCTGCCCTGAGGATAAACCCAGCCAATGTCGTGGTGACACCTTGCAAGAGGGGCCCAGGAAAATGCCAGAAGCAGCATGTCTGTCCACTGGCTGTGCGTGGGAAGCTGCTGGTGCTGGTGTCATCTTTTGGGAAGCACGGGTGTCTCCGACCTGCTTGTCAAGCCCCATGGCACCAAGTGGGAGGGGGGCAAGCATATCCCTCTCCTTTCTTTGCCTTCCATGAACAGCTCTATTGATTGCAATTGGGTTATTAGCATGGGAAGGTGGTACCGAATGTGAATGGAAGTGACAGCAGCAAGGCAAAAGAAAGAGAATAGTGAATTGGCTCCCCCCAGAAAGAGAGGGGAGAAGCCCCCTGACCCTGCCTGGACTTGCTTTGTATTCTGGGATGGACGAGCCCTGGCCCTGCTGGCTGCTCAGATGGGCAGGGAACAAATCCTGAGAACCCCAGTGCACACAGCCAACCGAGGGTCGTAGGGTGGGATGGATCTGTCCCACCACAGAAATCACCTGCAATAAATGGAACATGCAGAAAGAAAATTCAACTAAGGTACAAGACAGAGAAGGATAGGGTCCCCATTTCCTTATGTTGAAACAAGTAGTTTCTGCTGACTTCATGTAATTTTGCAAAGGAAGCAAAAGTACTGCTACAAGGGACGCTGGGCCCTTCTGGCCTGATTTACTCTGCTTTGAGATTTGGGTTTGTGCACGGTGCCCAGTCTGTAGCGAGGTAAATATAATCCCACCCCTCCAAGTGAGCCACAGAGCTCAGTGGGACTCTGACGGTCTGCATGCCTGCCCAGGCGCGGGGGTGCATGCGGCCGGTGGGTGGCCCGCTCAACATTTTGGTGGATGTTTCATTCCCACCCCTTTTACTACGACCCTGGTCAGGCCACTTTTATGCCAGTGACAGCTTCATGAAGCACAAAACATGGAGCAATACATGGCATGAAATTGGCAACAAAGCCGAGCAAAAGAAGGAACAATTCTCTGGCAGGATGTGATCACAGTATGGCTGATTGGATCTGGAAGCAGATGCCAGCAGCGGGTATTGTCCTGGTGACTGAAAAGACATGACCCCCGAGGTACAGAAGACAACGAGGCCCTCCTTATGAACCACAGGGGGAGGGGAGAGGAGGTGAAACCAATGAATAAATCAGGCGATGGAAACGGGAGAAAAGAAAATGCTAAAGAGGACTTTTATGGGGAGCGAGGCAGCTCAATGCGCAATAGCTCTACCTCCCCAGCTAGCTGAACACTTTCTCAGACAATGGCTTTTTAACAGATGGGAGCCCCGCTGAAAGGGGCCAAGTTGTGTGCGGTTGAGAATCCCTGTTTGTTTAGTCTGCAGCTCGGGCAGGTGTCTGCAGAAAGGCGATCCAGCAGGTTAAGTGTCTCAGAGGCATTTAACACAGGCGAGCGGGTGTATGGAGGAGGACTGGTTTCACAGGCAGGGCACTGATCTTGTTAGACTTGTGTGTGAAGCCCTGGGGATGGAGAGGAAAAAAGCAACCTCTTTTTTCCTTTTCTTTTAAGGACAGATTTTCTCGTGCTGTGGCAATCAGGCCCTAGCAATAAACGCTGCTGCTGAGGCCGTCTCATTTCACAGACACTGACAGGGCACGAAACATCACAGCTTGCAATGTCACAACTCTGTGCTCCTGCGGGCGTTCGATCCTTTTCCCCTTCTCTTACAATACATTTGAAAATCCAGCTGTTAACAGTACTGCTTTCTGAATGGGCTGCTTCATCTATTTCTGTGTTTACCAGAGGTCTTCGAAATTCCTCTCACACAGCTCCTGACCTCAGCGATAGGGAATTATCCTCTGCAGTAAGAGAGATGTTGCCGTTCTGGTTGGTTATGGCTGATGTCTCACTGAAAGAGCAGGGGATCCCACCAACATTTCCCTTGCATGGTGAGAGATGGAACTGGTTGCACAGTCTGGTTGCACAGTTGCAAAGTCTGGCCCTTTGCTCTCTTTGTCCAGCCTCCAAGTGTTTGCTGATACACTTCCTAGCACCCACAATGGGAGAGTTTTCTTGCCAGATCCTACCCAAAATGGCCAAGTTATAACAGAATGGCCTGTGCCAGGAACACGAAGCCTGGGGACTAAGGTAGGAAAGAAAAATAGTCAGCACTATGCCTGAGTGCCAATGGGGATGTCACCTCCTCTCACACTGAACCACAACAATCGCTGTAACCCCGAATTTCACAAAACCTTACAATTTTTAAGGTTGGAAAAGACCACAAAGATTATCTAGTCCAACCACCAACCCACCATGCCCACTATGTCCCTCGGTGCCACACCTCCATGGTTCTTGCACACTTCCAGAGCTGGTGATTCCCTCTCTTCCCTGGGTGTTCCACCACTTCAAGCGACCAAAGGACAGGAAAAAGGGCCACCACCAAATGAAGCTATGTCTGATCCATATGGTGATGGTCTTGGTTTCTACATGCCTGCCCAGTAAGACGGTCATCCTAGTTTAGGCATTTCAAATTCCTCTTTTACCAATTCCTATGTTGTCTTGCTGCCTTACTCGCCCTAAAGCTTCTCCATTGTCGTGGCTCACAGTGGGTATAAGAATGCTGCTCTTACTCTATCAGAGCAGCCCTCCAGAGAATAAATAGGTATCATTAATTTTAGGGGCTGGAGGTAGCATTGTGGTTGCATTATTCAAACAGTGACTTTTGGCCCCAGGGCCCTTTCTCCTACACCTCCAGGTCTGTTTTTTATTAAAAGAGGGAAAGGAAAGCTCAGTTCCTATATGGATGGTGTTGCTGCATGGCTACTGAGCCCATTCATAAGAAATCTGCAAAGACATTTCAAAGCAACGCTCACTAAATCAAAAGCTTCATTTCCTCCTTTCTACTTAAAAAAAAAAAAAAAACAAAAAAAAAAACCCAACAAAAACAATCCTGTCTCTGGCAGAATTGCTTAAATGCTATAAAATATTAACCTCCACAGATTGTTACATATGCAATTCGATTTCTGATACCTATTTTCTGGCAACAAAACCAGGGTCTTCAACTAGCAGTCTAGACACAAAGGTCTTTCTAGATAATTTCCAGCCTGTAAAACCTTTGATTTGAATATTTCTGTTACAAAGTTAAGCATTCTTCTTCAAAGCATCTAAGGACAATGCTAATGCTCTTTCTGAATTTCCCTCTTCCCATTTAGTTATCTTTGTACTATTCATTTTTAGAGGCTTAGCCGGAGTTTATGCGGCATTAGTATTCATAGGCACATGCTAATTTACTGGTATGTTCAGATACCTAAGTGGGTTTTTTCAAATGAAACAGAGGGGATTAGATCTAGATCACTTGCTCTGAAGAAAAGTTGTAACGAGCCTCAACTTTCTTTTCTTTTCAACACGGAATCAATTACTATAACAAAAGTTTGTATTCCACCCCAAAAAACACAAGCATTAATCTGCTGCAGTCCTGCAAAAAGGGAAAATAACATATCCTGGTTTGCCCCCCTCCTCCTTCCCCACGGCTCTCGGTACAGAGGCTGCAGCTGAGGGCAGGCAGCGATGCAGCTTTACCCGGCTGCTGCACTCACCGGGGAGCAGCGTGTGCTCCTCGCCTGCGCTTCCATGGGCACAGAAATGTGCTTAAACCCACGCA